CTATCGATGTCCTTTGACCTGTTGACATCCCGATAAGCCACGCGAACGAGAGAAAGCGGTACGGATCGTATCGCGTGCAAACAAGTCAGTCGGCTCGCGAATCGAACAAGATTAACAAGTGTCCGCTTTGTTCCTTGTTTGAAATTCCTACTTCGACGGTTCGAGTGTCTCTTGCGAGCTAGTCTCTCTCGCGAGATCTGTGCGCGTCGTCATACGCAACAGTCGCAACTATCGTATTTGATAATTAACACAAGAAACACACGACGATATCGTTCGCGTTTGCGCGAAAGTTTAAACGGCCGGAGATCGACCTCGTCAGCCGCGCGAACTTACCCGCGCATTGTTAACCGCAGCATGATAATCGGCAATACGATTTTCCTGTCTCCTCCGCGCGATTTCGGCGGGAAAGAATGTAGCGCAAAGGGGCAGTGAGAGTTTCATCGGTGCGTGTGTGCGAAAGTGGACATTAAAATCGCGCGAACTGCATCAGCGCGAATTCCTCCGGCCGTCAAGCGCAAAGAAGTGCACAGAGGAAACTTTACGTAGGAGCAATTCGACCGACGGCTCGGACACGTGACCGAGGAGCCTCGTCCGTCGGACGTAAGCAAAGCAATTAGACAGAAACGTGAAAGAAAAAGAGCGAGGAAAAGGGAGTCGGTAGGGTAAAAAAAAAAAAGGTGATCATTCGACGCTCTTCCAGTCGGTTTAACTAGACCCTCGATCGTACTTGGCCCTTCCGCTAATTCGTACTCTTTGCGGCGCGATAATAAGTACTAATAAATGCTCAACGTTTCATAAGTGAGTGTGTGTGTGTCTCCTGACTACAATGCTTGTTAAAAGCGTATAAATCATTAGTATGTCCACTTATTTTTCTTTTGCTTTTTTGTCTTTATTACCTTTATGCAAACCCAGCGTTCTTTCCGTCGGCTGTTTCAATACTTGGAGCAACCTATAACTTGCAGTAAGCTTCTTCTTTACACGAAGTTTTATTAGTTGTCATCTTTCCGCTCGAGAGTTCTCTTTATTCTTCGCGTTGAACGCCCGGGTAATGAATAAATCCGAATCTTCTATTGAAGAGCGGATCCCCGCTTAAATCGCATCACGATTCCCTAAAATTTCAGCTCGGTCGACCTGATCGTTGTTAGCGCGACGATTAATGTTACTATCGAATTAACCTTAGGTTAAGCCGTTGTGTAAATGGAATTGCGAGACGACCGAGCGAATTACCCGGTCGCCTCTAGGGCGGATATTACGCTGCTCCGAATTATCGATTGTGAATTCAAAAAGCGAGCGCAATCAGAGGGGAGTTTGAAGCACGGAGGCTTCCATGTACCGTCGAATACTTCGAAACTTATTACGAACGAAGTCCCAATTAAACTTCCCCCGTGATTACTTTTCTATAGTGACGATGGTTACGAGAGGGCCCGCACGCGGAGTCTGCTAAATATGCAGAATTTTTGATGTAGCAGCGGGAAATTAAAGTTACACGCGTTGACGAATATTTGAAACGTTGTCGGGCTGACGAGTTAATTACAGAACACGTATCATTCGAATTTTCTGCCGGAAAGGAATAAATATCCCCCGTAACTGAACACCTCTCAGTATCGAACCCGATCAGCATTCCCGTCACGATAACTATTACGAATGACAAATTAGCCGAAACGTAACGGCGTAATTGTGAAACGATTAACAAGGGATCGTCACGTTAGAAATAAAAGAATAATAATATAGAAGAATTTTAACAAGGATCAATTTTAATACAAATACAAAATGTTTTTTACTCTGTAGATATAAGAAGCGACACCGGGCGGTTCAGGCTGGTCCATAATTATTTAAACAGTCAAGCTGTCCTAACTTGATTTCAATATTCCGCTTTTAGAATAATTGCTATATCGCTCGTTTATTACGCACCCTGACCAAGTAACCCCGCGACATCATTTGTAAATAAACTTAGCTCCTGGATCCGGATTATATCGTAATATCGAGTCACGCAAGTCGCAAGCGTTTCTGTTATCCACTCGTAGGAAAGCCGGATAACGTGGCACACGGTCCGAGCTACTGTCCCGTTCGATCCTTCCAGAGTCTCCGCGAGGTAGTTCCACCTGTTCGTATTGGAATACGGTGTTACGGGGATTCCACAGGGAACTCCCACGTCTGCAGGGCGATGGCATGGACCGGCGTCATCGCAGAGAAGGCCGCAAAGTGTATTTACATACCGAGCCTTGGTCAAAGCCTTTACTTTGCGCGACCGTTCGCCATGCATCCGAGACGTTCGCGGCTCCTCGAGCTCTTATTCGACCGAATTTAGAATGAGCTCGCCCGTGCTCTCCCTGCATTGCATCTTCCGACGTGACGCTCGATACGGCGATAATGTTTGATTATCAAGTTAAATTGACTGACGCGACGCGCTTCTGATTTCGACGTTAGATCCTGTCGGCGCGAGAAGACATTTCGAAGACTCTTAATTCCAAAAAAATTCTCGATACGATTGCGTGCGACGGCCGTCTGTTTTCAGGATTTTACACGATAGAACTGAGGTATATTTTAATTTTCTGACGAGAAAAAATTCGAACCGTGAGAAGGGACAATCGAACCTATATGTTCGATTTGAGACAAGTGTTGAGTGTTACTTCGAAAATTAATATATATGTATATATTTCCCTCGTATTCAAGTGACGCGGTCTTAGCTTATAAATTGCTTAAATTCACATTACTTCACTGGACAAAACTGACGCGTACAGCAAAATGGAGCTTTGTCTCGCAGAAATTGGCTCGCTTCTCGGCGAGATTCTAGTGTGCTGGAAAATTCCATTTTACGTTCTCTCTCTCTCTCTCTCTCTCGAGCTATCTATCGGCTGTCGACACAATCTCCTTTTTCGAATTTCACATGCATCCTCGGCGATCGATAGGCGCTATTAACGAGTGGCAACGAAATTGTCGTAATAACGTTTGCATTTAGACGGGCGAGAAGCCCGGGTCACCGGCGACGACGAAAACGGCCCTCGGCTCACATTTTTCACCATTTTCAAAAGCTATAAGCCCGTGGGGTCGAATCACGGTAAGCATCCCGCGGCGAGCGCCGTTCGAACCGGCTCTCTGACAGGCAAAGGGGGGTAATTGCGCGTCGGTGCTGACTTATAGCTTCTAAATCAGTGTCGGCCGGATTCACCCCTTGTACCAGCGCCTTGTGCCAAACAACCTTTGCGAAACTTTCGGGATAAAGCGATGGCGGTCGGTTTCATCGCCGCTCGATTACGGACGCCGGACGTGGCATCGACGTGGATACCGATCGATTTATCGGCCGAAAGTAATAGGGCGGCCTGTGCAATCATCAGGTCGCCACACGGATATGTCAAGTGTTAAAAATGTAAAAATAAACATAGTTTTACACAGTCCCCCGGTAAATTCTATGAAATTAAGGCAAACTTTCCATCAAGAAGATTGCACGTTCGAAGAAAACGTTTTCGGCGATATATCGTGGGCAATAAATAAAAATTCAAGTATGTCATAATCGTAGATGTTCCCATGAAAATCGCGGAATTCGCTTTGAAATTTCGATGATGCTCGCATGCGATTGCTATCCGACCACCTGGGAAGGTGCTCGCGAATGCCATGTCCCACCTGCGAGAAGGCATCAACAGCCGCTGAGCCGACTCGTTGGCGAACAATTAGCCAAGTTTTGATCGCGCTCGCGTTTCTATCGCGAGAACATCGTGAGTATCTCGCGGATGGGCGGGGAAGCAAGACTCTCTCGCTTTCGGCGCTCGAGTGGTTGAACTTTATTAAGCGATATTTCTCTAATTATCTCCGCCGAGCCGTGCCGTGCAAAGCATGGCGAGCCTCCGCCATGTAGTCACAGCTATGTTTATGGCGCATGTTGGGCGTCTTGAAACTATAAACATTAAAAAGGGTCGAGGCGCCGAAGTTAGCGCCCTCCTGTTCTCTCCCACCTCCCTCCCATCGCTTCTTCTTCGCCACCGACTTCTACACTTACCGCCCCTCATTCATTTTCTCCTTTTTCCTTTTCTCATCTCCCCCCTCTCGCTCGCGCGAAACTGAAGAACTTCCGAGGCCCCATTTCGAGGAAAAACTTAGAAAATTAAACGCTACGGCGGTATCGCCTATATCGCCCAACGTCGGAGAAAAGTGACGGCAAACAGTAACAGTAACGTGCCGAGGCATCGCCGATTCCCGAGTATCGTACTCGTCCCTGATAACCGTGTATACGACTCGCGCGATACAGCCCTAATAGCTGAGCGCGGTTAACTTTTTAATTGAGAAAAGCGAAATAAGCTACCTAACAACGGCGCCGTCTGGTTTTACGAGAGCGCTTTATCCTCCGGATGCGCCTCGCAAGACGGTCCTAGCAGATAATTTACCGCGTTCCGGATTATTTCAAAATATTCTCTCATATACGTCGAACGTAAACTTTCGAGTCTGAATGGGGCGATTAAGCGGGATTCCGATGCGTAAAAAATTACGAGAAGCGCAAACACTGAGATGAATTTCGTATTGATGTAAAATCAAAGTGCCCAGAACTTATATCGATAATTGAACAATTCCTAGCGAGGATCGAGAGAGAAGGAAGAAACGAGAAATTTGATTGAGATCTTATTACATATTTAAAATTTAGAGAGAGGGCCGATCGATTCCCTAATAGCGCAATTGATTGAATAGATCAATTTCCTGACTCATACTCGCGTAAATGATCAAAGTGTTATGTATATGCAATGTAAAATTAATACTTTGACTTGTGCCAATGCTTTCGCGCCAGAGACACGCGGCGGGTATTACAAAGGCAGCGGGGGATTACGAATTCCACGATTTGTTAATCAAACGGCGCTGAAATCGCTCTCGCGTAATTTAAATAAGTCCGCGGACCAGCCTGCCTCATTCTTACGCCCGGATAACGACGCACGATCGCAGATGGAAATAGAACGGAATAAAATTATCAGCTCTTCCGTACGTCCAGGTAATTACGTGTAATTTATATTACTCACCATTGGTATGCAAATTATGCGGACCATGCATGCCCATTATAGACCTCGTACCGGCGTTACTGTCCGCCACCTGAACTCCGATTCCGCTGCTTCCAGATTGCCCAAGTTCCCTCACCATCCTCTTTTCTCCTTCCTCGGGTCGTGCTCGCGCCGAGGACGATTGGCCGCCGTTATTCTGTAAAAAAAGAGGAAGGAAAAAATGTCGCGTAAATTTCAGAACTGCATCAGTGTCATTGTGACGCTTGCAAGCCGGACGACGTCTCGGAAAAGTAGAAGCGTGATACCGGAAAAAGCTGGAATTCACATTATATATCCCGCGTTGAAACTTTCACGTTACGTGTCGCTCACGTCGCTTAACGTCGGGCACAATGTTAAACAAAATTTTAATTTGCTGCCGGATTATTACGTCCGATTCTAAATATCATGCCGTGATTAAAGCCTGTGTGAAATTCTCACTGAGAGGACAAGTGTATCCCCTCATACTCGTCGAAGAATCCACCATTAAGAGGTAAAGGCGGCGCGACACAAGAGATGAAAAGAGATAGGGAGTAACCCGGTATATAATAACGCAGGAACGACACACACGGTGGAACGGTGAGACAGAGGGAATGAGATAGGACGCCGACGGCGGGACGGAGAGGCGGCAGCTTAGATACGGCTGAATTGGTCAGTGGCGTCAGTCTTTTGATCTAAACTAAAATACAAGCCCGAAACAACGGCCAAAGCAAATCTGCTCAAAGTGCCTGCCCTCTTCAAAGTACTTGGTTTCGTCTATCTCGCTTCGCCCCGCGCGCGATGGCATACCCCAATGACCAATTATCTTTGTATCTTTGCCGATGACAAGCGAACCGCGAGTAAACTGTCAACGGGGGGGGAAAGGGTTTAGTACGTGTCGGTCTATCGGATAAGGGGGTTGGTACACCGACTCTTTCTCTCTCTCTCTCTCTCTCTTTCCCTCTCTTTTACCTTCGTCCTTCTCTCCTCTCCTCCGTCTCTTCTTGCGCGTTACGGCTCGCGCGCGCGTTCTCTCTTTTCCCTCTTTTCGCATTCCTAATTTCATTTTCATCGGGCGTCGCTTCCGCGCGTTTTGCCGTGCGGATCAGCCGAAACAATGGTTTGCCACGCGGCGAATTAAATCGAAACGGAATTAAATCTTCCTCCCGCGCCGCGCCGTCGCCTCGCCGCGACAGTTCTCGCCTTCGAGAGAGGTCCTCCGGACGTCGAATTTGGGACGAGACTTTAATTGGAATCAGCGTGTCCATCTAATTATATAAACTTTTTCCCATCCTGCTTGCGTATCGCGAGACGCGCGCTGTTTCGTGCTTTCATCAGTACGCGCATACTCTTACTACTACGTAGCATTAGTATCGACGGTACTTTCACGGAAAATCCATACACGCACATACGCAATCGTATGTTCAATTTCACTTTATAATATAAAAAATATAGTGGGAAAGTACTACGATAAAGTAGGCAAAATAATAACCCGCGTCGTGAACATCAAACGGCCGTCGAATTTCCGCGCCTTGCGCTACATAATGTCATCGCTTAGACATTAATCGCGAAATTCTGGGAGATTAACGTGGCTTCTCGATCGTTTCATTAAACGTCGCCGAAGAATCACGCGGGAATTGTGTTTAATAGCCAACAGCCATTTAAAATATACTCAGTGTCACGAGAAAGAGACGATTGTCGTCCGTGAAACAATAGCAGCCTAATGCCATGCAGGAGAGAAGCCTCTCTCGTACCACCGAAATATGGCTTTAATTCCTGACGTCTTATTCGGCCGTCTGGCGAATTCAGTGGCCGTTTGATGTTCGGGACGCTGTAATATACACGACTCGCCAAAGACCCGCGTTCTTTTGAGGGCCTTCGTTCTGATAATGATTAACAAGACGGAAATTAACGGAAGACAGATCGGACCCGTTTAGCGCAGTTCTCCAGTTACCCTTTATCCGGCGATGCGGTACTTACAAATACTTCTGTAATTGCTCGCATCCCTCTGCAGTGTCTGCTCGACCTTAGGTTGCACTTTGTAATTTACTCTGGTAACTTCACTTCTTTTTGCAAATTCTGTCACTGAGATAGCGGAGCACTTTACCAAGTGCGTATTCCTCGACGATTTTATTTTAATTGCATAAAATCTGGGAGATTTTTTATGTATTAGAACTGGTACGCCAAAAATTTCCCGAGCATTCTTTGAGAACATCGCAGATATACCGTTCCGGTATTATTTCTGAATTATTTCGGCAAGATCGTTAGCCGACGGCTTTGTTAAAATAAATCCTTCGCTTCTACCCATTTTCTCATTGAGTTTAATAGAACGACTGATCAATTCCGGCTAACGAGAAAATTGTATAATTTATATGCCATGGCGAGAGAATTGATTTATAGGAGCGACTAAGGATTGCCTTGCTTCGACAGATACAAAGATAATTAAAAGATTAGAATTGTGTGGAAAAAGAATGCATTATTTGCTGAATACGCGTTACTGCGTCGTTATTTTTACAATATGTGTAGTATCTAGACGAGTCAGAAAACGCGACGTTGCTGGAAAATGTCGGACGTTAGTATAACATCGACACGACGTGCACTCATGCCCCCTTGATGTCGCTTTTCATTTGACATGTCTCCCTGGGACCTAATCCCGCGGTAATAATTTACGTATCCTACTGCCCGCGTGCAGAGATACACAAATCTGCGCGGTAAACCAGGTCAATGACGTGATTCACATTTGTTAGCGGCACAATAGAACTCATCTCAGTTATTTGTTTCTTAAACGATGTGACTCATAGGCCGTAACTAACGAAATGTTCACTAATTGAGAGATGTAACATCTAAAGTGATATCCTAAGATCACCGTAATTTTAGTTTACCTTTGACATTATTTTTCTTCGAAAAGACGATTTTTCTATCTTACTGGCCTTCTGTTTTTCTTCCTATCTTAAAGCGAGAGATGGAACTTGTTTTTAAGATTCTTTCAACTTTTCAGACGAAAATTGACAGATTCTATCTAGGTAGCGAAAGGGAAATCGCACGGTGGGACGATATAAACTACGCGTTCGGATCGCACCGATCATTTTCATCCAGCCGACGCATCGTTCCCGTGGATTTTTGACGAGGAAGTTTCGTCGTGCCCAAGGATCGGACCGTTTCCGTTCGGCAGGACTCTCCACGTTAATTCCGCAGGACGTTACATTAATTCCAAATTGGTTTCGGCCGAGCGGAGATCCTCGGCGTCGCGCCAGGCACGAAGGATCACCGATCCACGGAATACCCGGCTTAGTTCCGTCGTAATTACAGGCCAGAACGGGGCTTAGCCCATCCTTATTTATACGCAAGCTAGGACGCGACGCGACGCGCACGCTGATACTTCATCCCACTGCTCGCTGTACCCGCGTACTTTGTACGCGTTTCTTATTAACTGTACGTTGACAGGCAGATATTCTCCTTCCCGATCAACCTTGATGAGTGATCGGAGTCCGTTCAGGTGTAGGCGACACGAGACCCGACGTTTCAACTCGAGAAACTGAATTTACCGCCTCCGCTCTGCGTCCCTCTCGTCCATCTTTCTCTTTCGCACATTCTTTCCAGTACTACTGTGATACCACTTTTTATTTGTTTGACAAAGAAATTATTCATTACACTCGAGATCATTATTGGTACCAGATTCGGAAAATTGTGTTTAGCGCTAAATATGAAAACTGATAGTATCAATTTTCCGGATATTAGGGTATAAAAATATTCGGATTTATACTAACAGAGTTAAAAAAGATGAGCTGATGTTTGACGAGCGCAGACTCTAATTGCTAGCACACGGGTCTTCGTGTTCAATTGTGTAACGATTTGTATGATGCTCTGTTAAAAATTAAGCCAATTTAACCAATTACAGCAGTTTTAAATCTCGCTTTGAAGCTTTCCGCTCGGAGGTAAAGTTGCACGATCGATCAGCCAAGTTTTGAACAGATTCTACTCGCCGTGCGGCGGAATTGTCCAAAAAATTGGTGAGAAATGCATCGATCCCCTTTCATCGGCGACAGACGGGAGTACGCGTCCGTTATGATAGCGAAAGAAGCCGCGAGAGAAATTCCGAGTGCGACTAAGAGAGACGCTCGTAGACCGCGCAAGAGTTTCGGAGGTGGATGAGAGGGTGTCTTAAGCATCACGTCGCTGTATTTAGGACGCATCCTTATCTCCAACGACCCCTTCTAACCGCAGTTTTGAATCGTGGCGCGCGCGCCGGCGCTAAGCGTCGGTCCATGTTGGTGGCGATTCTACGCGGGGTGGGCAGAAAGGGGTTGCTCCCTCGCGAGAGACAGGGATGAACGGCGGACGGGAGGAATGTCGGGAGGAAAAGGGAAGGAGAGAGAGAGAGAGAGAGAAAGGAGAGACCCGACGAACGACGGGATAACTCCATGAGTGGTCAAAGGCGTCAGAGCGAGACGGCCGACGACGAGGGGGATGAAACCGCTCACGAGAGAAAAGGTGTCGCGACGAGGGGCTCCGCGAGGATGGAGGAGAGAGCGAGACGGAAGACCAGATGGAAGGGGTAGGCAAAGTGAGGGAGAAAGACAACGTAGAGAGACCGCTGTCTACACTACCGGGGGAGGAAAAAGGAGGTGAATCGAAGAGTGCCGAAGAGAGAAAAGAGAAAGAGAGATAGAACGGCGGAGGACGACACCGTGAGCGAAAAAAGGAAAGACACCGAGGGGTGGCAGGAAAATAGAGAAGGATTGTCACGCTCGGAATTCTGGTGGGGGATGAAAGTGGTGGGGCAGCGCGGAGCGGCGCGGGGTGGGAGGAGGGAGGGAGAAAAAGAGGGAGAGAGCGAGAGAATAGAACGGAGACGGAGAGAGGGTAGCGAGGAAGGGTCGGAACGCGTAGGGACACAGAGCCATAAGAGGGTTGATGGCGGCCGGGGTTGGCCCCAGTAGCACAGTCGCGCGCCAAACTGCCGTAAGAAAGCACGTAGCCGGTTCGGACGCGCTCTCACGCAACCTGCACCCCACGTCGGCGGATTTTTTCAACCCCCTCGAGACGAGAGTTCGAGAGTTCGGGCCGCTGACCCGTCACCCCTCGTCGCCGCGCGCTTTCGCACCCACACCCTAGGGGGATGATACTACGTGTGACTATCGTGGGAGCCAGGTTACTCGACACGACCGAGTTTTTTTTTTCTCGAAGAAATTGTAGCCGACTGCCGCCGTGGTTGGAACGACCGACTACGATGATCGGGACTGAAGGATGGACTTGACGGGGTAAGCGACAATTTATTATTAGACGTCCGTTATTGGTAAACAGAGCCGTCAATCTCGAGCGGTTGATGAGATATTATGACGCAGCTGCGTAAAAATCTTCATTTGGCCGGTGGCTGTCCGCGAACTCTCCCGAGTCTGACCTGCCCGCGTTACCTACGGTAATCGGTACCGTATGAATACGGCAATTTAATATATAATAAACGACACATTTCTCCAGCACTCTCTCTCTCACGAATTCCTATTAATTGCACGTTTATAATGTCGTCTGAAAAATCGACGCGATAAAGGAAGTCAATGAGAAGGATGCGAGCGATAATTAAATCGAGCAATGGAAATTGCTCGAGCTTTTGCGTTACGCGGCACGCTTCATAAAGGATACCCTGGCAAATGGGATCTACGGGATTAATAAGGATTAGATTCGCCGGATAATAAAGAGATTATACGAAATTGATAAATTCAACGGAAATGGAAATTCTGCTGTTTAACGGAGATTTTTCGCCGGACGGATTGCTGAAAGCCAGTTTTTGAAAAAGTTCGCCCCCGACAGCCTGGGCAACGGCTATGCAATTGCACGCGCTGTTAAGGGTTGAACGCGAAGCGATCGCGCTCAACGTGTATTTCGCGTTGACAGCGATGTTTATGTCTCCCTCCTCGTCTTGCGTGCGGCGTTGCATTTCGTGACTGGTGCTTGACATAATGCAAAAGTTTTCGAATGGCGCCAGATGTGGCTCGCCTACGAGCGAGAGAAATGCGCCGTCTCTCTCCCGCGCTTCTGCTCGTTACTGAAAGTAGTCTAATTTACCAGAGTGTCTTCTCGTCCGACGCGCCGGGGGAAACGCATCCTCAGAATCTACGCGTTCTCTGCGGTAACGCACAAATGTTTTCTGATTAGCGGCAACTTTCGCGAAAATCCCGTCCCGAAATATCCCGCTTCCATCCTTCCCGCGACATCCCATTACGGCGTATCGAAATGTTAGCTCGAAGTGAACCGCATAATAACATTTTTACGGCTCGACTTTGAGTTACTCGATGAGAGAACTCGCGGAGCTCTTCAAGAACCTTTGTTCGGAAAATTATTATTCGAAATTAACGCGAGCTACCTTTCATCGTTTCAAGCAATAAGTATTATCAGTCATATCGTAAAATATCAAATATATCGATCCTCGATAGAGCTGGTACGTGTAATAAAAAAATTCAACGACACGGCTAACGGAACAGCGTCTCGACGGGGTTAACTGAGCGCCGTAGTGGCGCGAGAAAAATTGACGGTAGGGAATTTTCGCATCAGTTCCGAGGCGCTTATTTCGCGCAGTGGGATGATGGCTCCCGATCCTTTATAACGATGATAGTGATTATGTCAATCGGGTCACGCGAGACAGCGATGCGAGCCTGCTCGATCTCGTCCATTATCGCGAAACAAAGTAGCCCGAGCGAGCTCATTAGGGTGCGCGCTGATCGGACGTGCTGCACAAGTGCAACCAGTCGCGCAATATTGTATCGGATGAGCGGTGTACGACAATTTGCTCAGCGATTCATCGCTTAAGCGTCGCGAGATTAACGCGCCGCACGTGCTAGCAAACGCTGCAAAATTGAATCTTCATGGCGCGTTATAGGTCCTCTCTCTCCCTCTCTCCGTCTTTCGCCGACGCAGTTGCAACGTTACCGCGCTTCGACGGAGATAACGTAAACGCATAAACGCCGCTACGGCGTCAGCGAAAACATGTACGCATCGATACTTTCGAGTGGCGAGTTTAGG